CAAAACTGACCCAATCACCTCTCCAATATTAATGTGCTTTCAGCCCTAGTTATGTGCTATTGTTAACATCTGTTTCTACTCTCACATTCTGCTCCACCAAGCATATTTATGCGGGAACTCTGGCATGATAACCCAAGCCTATCTGTGTTAACTGTAAATTCTGTGAGAATTTTAGCAACCACCAACATTTAACAGGCCCATGTATGAAAACTACTTCTCATAAATACTATTTCTAGCTTTGAGACAACTGTAAGGCATTCAGGTGAATGTTTCTTAAGGACAGCCAAAAGAAACATCTTACAATATAAAATTATAATGAAAGGATTATGAAGCTGGCAAGGTTGGTTGGTGCTCCAGTCCTATTATTTTGGACTTGAAACCAACACTGCTGCTAACTACTGTGCATACCTGACACAGAGAAACAATAGCTTTGCATGTATATGATGACAGCACCTCCCCAGTCCATCCAAGGGTGGGAGAGAAAACAATGGATTTATGTTGTTGTTGTTGTTTAGTCCTTAAGTCATGCCCGACTCTTCGTGACCCCATGGACCAGAGCACACCTGGCCCTCCTGTCTTCCACTGCCTCCCGGAGTTGGGTCAAATTCATGTTGGTTGCTTCGATGACCCTGTCCAACCATCTCGTCCTCTGTCGTCCCCTTCTCCTCCTGCCTTTACTCTTCCCCAACATCAGGGTCTTTTCCAGGGAGCCTTCTCTTCCCCTGAGATGGCCAAAGTACTGGAGCCTCAGCTTCAGGATCTGTCCTTCACCACCAAGTACACCTGAGTTACCCATGGCTGGGAACCACTGCCCAAATATGAGACCGGATACCACCAGGCCTCCTTCCTAGTCACAAAACAAAACAAAAAAATAAATAAAAATACAAGCAAGGCTTGTGATGCATGTGTCGCAACCCAAGCTTGGGTTGGGTAAGACCTTCCAGAACTTTGCATCAGACTACCAGAGCCGTCTCATAGACAGAGTGGGGGACCAAGAGTAAGGAAACCTGGGTTCAAATCCCCACCTGCCCACAGAAGCTCAGAGGGGGTTTGGCTGTGGGCCTTTTCTCAACGGGTCCTTCAGACAAACCAAATGATATGTACATTTAACATGCTGCAGTACCTCAGTGATCATCGACCACAGACATTCTCAACCTTGGTTTTGACCATGGCCATAAACACAAGATTAAAAAAATATAGGCCAAATCAGGATTGCATAGGTTGACTAATGAACATTATAAGGTGGTGTGTGGAGAGCTTTTTCCAGTCTGTGGCCCCCTTCAAATGGGCCAGGGCCTCCCAAGAGGCCATATGGCTTCTCTTGAGAATGGCTGGCCTACCAGGGTCTCTTTTTTTATCACTTTCCCCGAGGAGCAGAGATAAGTGTTCAATTTGCCAATAGCCTGAAGTGGCTCACTTATTAGGCTACTTCACGACACGATACTGAATTGGACTAAATATGCCACTTAGATGCAAAGATGCAAAGACTGCACAAAGTGGCATAGTGTACCTCCACCTGATTCCACACAACCCTATTTAGCTTGCACCCATGGGCTCCAAAATAGGCAGGCGAATTGGACTAAATATGCCACTTAGATGCAAAGATGCAAAGACTGCACAAAGTGGCATAGTGTACCTCCACCTGATTCCACACAACCCTATTTAGCTTGCACCCATGGGCTCCAAAATAGGCAGGCTTTGGACCAAATATGCCACTTAGATGCAAAGACTGCAGAACGTGGCATAGTGTACCTCCACCTGATCCCACACAACCCTATTTAGCCTGCACCCATGGGCTCCAAAATAGGCAGGCTAGACATGCCCGTAGACTTTTGTTTCAAATTTGCAGCCTTCCTCTTGGAACCTGACAACTACAGATCCGGCAGCTTCAACATTCAGCTGTTTTTGTCGTGGTCCCCTCAACTCTGTAATGCTCAGGCTGGAGAAGAATCCAGCAAAACTTGAAAGCTAACTTTTTTTAATTTTTTTTACCAAATCCTGATTGGGGATCTTGCACATGGAGACTTGAAAGCGAACTTTTTTTTTTTAAACCAAATCCTGATTTGGGATCTTGCACATGGACCACTGGATTGATGTTTCTTCTTTCTAGTACTTGGGGATTCTGTTTGGTTTCTCCTCTTTGGTTCTTCCTAACAAGAACCTGTGCCTAGCCCTCGCTGGTGTTTTGAGACAGCAGAATTGTTCACAGAGAACAATATTTACCCGGTGGGCTGATTCAAAGTTGAAAATGGGGGAACCTTAGTTCAGTGACGTTGTACACTGGAAGCATCAAGTCCCTTAAACTCTAACATCATCCTTTAAAAAGGTGAGATGCAAAGGGTAGGAAAAAAGAACTTGTCTGTTTTTCATCCTGTAAAGCTGTTGCCAATTAAAACAGACAGGACTGGGTGGCAGAGCTTAGAAAAATAACAACTCATACTAGCTAGAGGGCTCTGAGAAGGAGAATCCAGAAAAGCAATTTTCCAAATGATCTATAAGGCAGTTTATGTACTCGCATTGCGTGTGTTCTGTGCTGTCAATTTGGAAATTATAGCAGCCCTGTTATAAGGACTTTCAAGGCAAGTGAGATATGCAAGGAGTGTTTTTACCAGTTCTACTCCCCCAGTGAATTTCTATGGCTCAGTGGGGATTTGATCTCTGCTCTCTGGAGTCCCAGTCCATCACTCGATCCATTGCACCACACTGGGAATGCATCCGCACTTGCTGTAAATCCTCTCTGGGTGATGTGAAATAGATGGATGCAAACCCCACAAATCAAAAGCAGTGTAGACTAAAGTCAGGGAGGGGAAAAAAAATCCTAAAAGCCGGTTTATTTTAGCTGGCCTTGACCCAGCCTGGTGGTTTGTTCCCTATGGGTCAGGTCAGACCTCTTTCTTCTGCAGCCGAAAGTCAGTATCTCCAAAATTTACTCTTATCTCTTTTCCCATGATGGAGCCAATCCAGCCTTTCTACTCTGGGACATCAGGGTCGAGTCTCCCCAGAGGGGGCAGCCTGCCAGGTGTTGTTTGCCTGTTAGACGGCATAGAGTGCCATCAAGTTGATCCAGACCTGTGGCATTCGCAACCCTTCATGCTATTCAGGAGAGGTTGACCAGTCCCTTCTTCAGGTGGGGCCCAAGGCTGCACAGGCTGGCTCTTCTCCGAAGAGGACCCAACCTCTAGTCCCTGTCTTCACTACCCAGGTGCTCCAACGCACTGAGCAACCCAGCTAGCTTGAAGACCAGAATCATGCATTAGAAAAAGCCTGTAATTAGAGTTGAAAGCAGGCTCGTGTTGCAGAGAGGAGACCGAGGTAGTCTCCCATCTCTGCAAAATGAGAGTTTTGTGCTCAAGTCTTGAAGACCAAATCACCAAATAAAACAAAGTGTTTTGTATACGGAGCCACTTTCCATTAATTATTTCTCCTTCTAACCATGGACTATCTCCAACTTCTGGTTTTGGCTTTTTAGAAGACAAAACTGACAGGGCACTTACATACAAGAGAGGAGTTAAGCCAAGCTACTTTGTCTCATTATTGTACAAAAAATCCTTTTTTCTACATTATACATACTTTGTGTCTGTATGTATTTTCCAATTTATCTGTAAATGGAGAGAGAGAGAGAGAGAGAGTATACCCTTTGCCTAGTTTATTGTTTCCTGGAAAGGTTAAGTTTAATATCAAATGTATTTTTGACAAAACAAATCAGAAACCATTATTGCAAGCAAATTCAGATCTGTTGTTTACAGGACGTTGACTATATACTGACAATTAAAATGACCTGAATATACAAACACAGGTTCCCCTGTACTGACTCGCTCTTGAGTGTACACCACCAACCGTACACGTGCTAGGGAGTCAGGGAAATGGTCTGTGCACACGTTGGATTGTCATTTATAGTGCAAGGTTTTTGAAAATCCAGATGGAGATGACAAACACAGCGATGGGCTTCCCTTTCTCTGCAAACCACGCCGGGCACCGTCCAGGAGGAAATCCCCCCAACACCAGCTCATCCATACCCTCGGGGCACCATGCGCTTGACCTGTCTTTGGACTGTGCAAACCTAGGCAAGAGGGCATGCAGTTATCCTGTTCATGAAAAATCAGTGCTAAGGACAGAACCCATCAGTGCATTCTCTGGCCAACATACAGTTTTCCTGCCTTCCCACTCATTCTCCCCCCCCCCACAAAGCTTCTCAGCTATTAAAGCCATCCCCATATTCTCTGAAGGCCACTAAAAAAGGAGAGGCCATTTCTATTTTGAGAGATACACAGCATCCAATACTTTCTCCAATGTCCATGGATCTTTTCTGATTCCCCAATACATATGCTTTTTGGTTTATAATTAATAGTTTAGCTTCTCGGCACACAAGTGGAGAACACCCGACTTCCCATTTGGGCCTCATCTTTACCAGATGGCACAGATACCTGGCCCAGCTCCCCAATAAGACTTTGCATTCTTTTTATGATGATGGTCATATTATCTATTTATGGCAGCCCCACCTTTGCTTTCAGCCATTATCAGGAGGCTTTGATCCAAATCCCAGGTCAAAGCAAGCAGAAGGTCAGCTGCTCCTGAACCAAGCATTTGAACAAGGATGGGCAACATGCGTCCCTCCAGCGGCTGTTGAGCTGCGCTTTCCACTATCCCACACCACAGGCTATGGAGGCAACAGCTGATGGGAGCTGCAGTCCAGCTACATCTGAAGCACCTTGCATTACATGCTCTATACATCCCTTTCTCCTGCTCCTCCAGGGCAGGGGACATGCATGCAGCACAATGAGAAGAGAGGAATGAACCCTTATCATTTCAGATGGTAAGAAAACAGAGTCACACTTCTAAAAGTGCAAGAAAACTCTCGCCCATCAGCAGGGAGCGAGGCTGAAGCTTTCTCCCCAGCATGCTTGGTCGTTATGCACTGTCAACTTCGATTTGAACTTGCAGGAAGTTTGGTCCACAGGAATGGGGTTTTAAAAAGGCAACCCTCCCCTACCAACTTGTGCTCCCGTATGTACATATTTGGCATGTACATACCAAGATCTGCTTCAGGGATGGGGCATGTGTGGGCCTCCACATATTGGCAGACTACAACTCCTATCATCTACCACAAGGGGTGGTACTGCTAGGGCTGTTGGTAAGTGTAGTTAAACAATATTTGAGGAGGAGAGACATGCTCTCTCCATCGGCTTAGCCCACAGGGTAGAAAGGCTGGGCAGTTCAACAGGTTGAGTTTCTCACTTTAAGTGAACAGTTAAGACACTATTAAACACAGTCCAGTGTCTCTCTTTCATCTCGCTTACTGAAGACTAAGAGTTGGGAGAGAGAGAGAGAGACATCATGTCCATTCTGCCAGGTGACTTTTGGAAAACGCTTCCTGAGGCTTAAACGTTTTTTCTTCGAAACAGCTTGAATTCTTGAAGTTCTTGCGGATGTAAACTCTGATCCACCCCTGGAGTTAGCTTGTAGCTTAACGGGGAATCAATGTAACCATTTCGATACAGGCAGACACGCTTGCAGAATTCAAAAGTGCTGAACATGACCCCGAAATAAGGGACAATCTGTTAAGAAAACACAAGACACAGACAGAGAAAGATGCAAAACCCAGCCTGAAATTATTCATATATGCATAGCTTTGCTAAGCTTCATTGCTACGCTCTGGTGAGAATTTTGCAGGCATCACTGTAAAATCGAACAGGAGTCTTTGTTTATTAAACTGCATGTGATCCTATATTTTGATCAATATCTCAAGAAAAAGAAACCACTTGCACTGAGGATTAAGTGTTTTACGATTCCTGAAAGCCACCATGCACTGTATCAAGAGCAAAAAAGGATAAATATTTTGAAATGAAAATGCAAAGATCATTTACAGCAAACAGCAATGCCACTGATGATTTAAAAGATCTGTCAAGACAAATTCACATTTTGAGCCAGGTATCATATGCATTAGACCCTTGCCCATCTTGGCTAATTGGAAGATCAGCCAGGGGGGTTCGCACCTGGGTCCAGGAGGCCATGAACGCCTCTTTGAGAGAGGGAGTGGTCCCTACGGCCTTGAGAGACGGCAATTCGACCACTTCTAAAAAAGCCTAACCTGGACCCAAGGTTGGTGGTTAACTACCAGCCAGTAGCAAATCTCCCTTATTTGAGCAAGGTGTTGGAGCAGGTTGTGGCTGGGCAACTCCAGGCGCTGCTGGATGAAACGGATTTTCTGGATCCATTTCAATCGGGTTTCAGGCCGGGTTTTGGTACAGAGACTGACTTGGTCACCCTGTATGATGACCTTTGCTGGGAGAGAGACAGGGGGAGTGTGACCCTGTTGATACTCCTGGACCTCTCAGCGGCTTTCAGCACCATCAACCATGGTGTCCTTCTGGATAGGCTGGCTGGGTTGGGAGTTGGGGGCACCGCTTTACAGTGGTTCTGCTCCTTCCTGGCTGACAGTGTCCAGAAGGTGATGCTGGGGGGAAGTTGCTCTGTCCCATGGAGTTTGTGTCACGGAGTTCCTCAGGGCTCGATACTGTCCCCCATGCTGTTTAACATCTGGGAGCCACACATCAAAAAAGCAACATTTCGAAGCTCTTGATAGACCATACATTTTAGTCAATTGTTCCCAAAGGAAACCATAACTGCTGTGGTACATACCCTGAGTAAGTTAGCAGTGAGTCCGTTCCAAAGGGCGAATACTCCCTTGGTCTTTATGGTTTGCTTGAAACAGTCAACCACCCCTTCAAAATGGACATCAACCCCGCCACTGTGGGGAAGGCAAGGACTCTGAGCCTGTTCCAGAGAGCACACAAAACAGTTTTTAAGACATTAGAAGCTATGCAGGAACTAGGAGAAACAGTCAAGGGTAAGGATGCACCACTGTTGATTGACACCAACACCATCTATGTGACTGTGTCTCCCATCATTATGTACAGATGTGAAAGCTGGACAGTTAAAGAAATCCTTTGATATGTGGTGCTGGAGGAGAGCTTTGCCCAGGACCACCAGAAAGACGAGCAAGTGAGCCTTAGAGCAAATCAAGCTCTCTCCCCAAGGCCAAAATGACAAAATTAACCGTGTTGCACCTTGGGCACATTATGAAAAGCCAAGACTTGTTGAAAAAGGTAACAACGCTGGGAAAAGTGGGAAGGACCATCCAAAAAGAAAAAAGAAAAAAGAAAAAAAGAAAACAACAGATGACTCAGGAAAGGGAAGCCAAGTTCTGAGTTTTGAAAAGCTGAGCAGGGCTGTTCATTACAAGACATTCTGGAGGGCACTCATTCATTGGGTTGGCATACCTTGGTGACTGGACAACACATAACAACAACATCATAATAAATTCCATTTGAATCCAAAGAAGATTTGCTTTCTACAACGGTTTGTCCTTTATACTGCTGTTTGAAGGAAGAACAAAGTTACGTCATCCTAAAATGGCTTATGTCTCAAGTAAGAATGCATAACATAGGATGATTCTATGGATCGCCATTTGGAATAGTTACTTTTTTGGACTTTGGGCTTTCTGAAGTGCAAAAAAAGGGGACTTTTCCAGGCGTGGGATAGGACTGCAGGCTGAGGGTGCAACCTGATCAATAACTGCTCTGCAGTAATTCCCACTGGGCTCGATGGGGCTCTGAGCTGCTAGGCAAGGCGAGGGCTAGCCCAAAATATTTTTCTGTCTGAGGTGGAAAAGGAATGGCGATTCCTCCCATTCATTTCATGTGCAAACCCCCCTCAAATGTGGACTGATGGAGGGACCTTCCTTCAGTTCTGGTCATGGGTCAGCATCTTCCATCACACCTGAATTCAAGAGGCTGCCTTCCCCCAAATGTTGTGAAGGGGTGGGGCTTGACAAATTCTGAATGGAAATGACCCATATTATCATCTAAGACCAGGTGGGGAACATATGATCACTGGGTTCAAGAGCTATAAATACCTCGCTGCACCACTGGAATTACTCCCAGGGAAGTGGCTGCAATCCTATGTGCATTTACTTGTCCAGCCATTGGACAAAAGAAAGGCGAAAACTGCAGTGCTTCTAGAAAAAAGACTCTGAATCATTTCTCCTCTGGCTACGTTCCCAAACAAATGTTTTTGATATACAAAATGTTGGCCATAACCTGCACATTAAGCCACCGAGGGCAGGTTTCATTTCCTTTCTCCATCCTTCAGTTTTAGAGAGTGTTTGCCTGAACCTTTGAAGATATGAAAGAAATACTCATGCTACAGATTCTAAACTGCCTTTTGGGCTTAGGAAAGAAGGGTCATTTCCCACGATGATGGCAACTGCTTTACAGACAGGGATCAAGGCAACAAAATGGGCTGGAGACTGCTGGCAAGGAAACACTATTTCCTTTATGTTAAAATCTCCTTGCAAGTGGAATAACAGCAGAGGAGGCAACATTCCCTGATGTGCTACTTTTTTATTTGCGGGGAACAAATGCAGAAAAGCATCTATTGGTCAGGCTGGCTGGAGGATTCTGGGAACTGTTGTTAAAAAGGAGTTCTCCTCCGCCTTTGGAAAAAAAGAAATCAAAGTAGACAATCCAAAGATGCTATTCCCTCACTAGCAACCTAAAGCAGTACAACCCACTAAAACACCTGCTGTGTTACCACTTATTTCTGTTGCACGTGGGAAACCAGCCTAAGACCAGATGTATGCAGGACACGGATTGCATGTAGAGCTTTTATTTGTGTAAGCTTTCCCACACATGCTCCAGCATGTTTAGACACAATCACACCATTCACATGAAACACTAGCACACAGTTGGTGGCTGATCAGGTGGGCAAAGCTGACAGGGCAGTGGACCAGCACAGACAGATAAAAACTCTTAAGTGGGACTGGATAAGTATGAAAGGCTCGCAAGAGGAACACAATTTTTCCGATGCTCCACATCCTGTATAAATCAGGCCTTAAGCAGCTCCCTAGAGGTGCTAAGCCTTAAATGATCCCTTCTGTCAGATGGCACGTGCCAATGAAAGGCAAGAAGTTCTCCCTGTGACATATCAAGTTCTTGGCAGCTTTGATTCGTTTGCTGAAAGATGAACCTCAGGGGTCTGACTCAGGAAACAGGGAAGCACTTGCCAGGGAATCACTGGCTGAGCACAAGACATTTTTTTGCAGACTGAGCTATCTACAGTGGTGCCTTGCAAGACGAATGCCTTGCCGGACGAAAAACTCGCAAGACGAATGGGTCTTGTGATATTTTTCGTCTTGCGAGGCACCACTGTACTTCCATTAATGCAGCCTTACATTGCATCAGCCTTTTTTGTAGCCACATCACACTGTGGCTCATATTGAGCTTGTGATCTACAACAATTCCAAGATCCTTCTCGCTCGTAGTTTTGCTGAGCCAGCTCTCCCCCATCTTGTAACTGTGTGTTTTGTTTCTTTTTCCTAGATGCAGTCCTTTGCACTTATCCCTGATGAATTTCATCCTGTCAGTTTTCAGCCCGGTGCTCCAGCCTATCCAGATCATTTTGAATTTTGTTTCTGTCTTCCAGGGTGTTAACTATTCCACCCAATTTTGTGTCATCTGCAAATGTCACTAGCATTGGAAACAGTCAAAATCTCCTTTCTTGTGACTTGAAACCCTTACTTCTGGTCCCGTCCTCTTGAGGTACAAAACAGACACACAGCACTGCTCCATCATCCATATGACAGCTCTTCAAATACTTGGGTCTAGAAGTCAACGGGAAAGACCTTGGTTTAAAAAATAAATAATTTGATTTATGTCAACCGAACAATCAGTGAACTTCAAAAGATATTATCATCAACAGTCCTGCTCACCTCTTGCAACCTCAAGGCTGTGGCTTTCTTTTATTGAGTCAATCAATTTCTTACTTTGTCTTCCTCTTTTCGTGTTGCTTTCAACTTTTGCCAGTGTAAGGGAATTTACTCGCATCAAGCTGTGCACAAACTGCAGGCTGCAACTCTTACAATATAATCTGAACGTATACGTCAAAGCGCATCTTGCTGAGCTCAAAAGACCTTCTTCCCTGGTTCAGTGTATTTTCGACTGTAGCCTTGTAATGGCAGACACACAACTCTGTTTAAATCAATGCAACGCCTCCCATGTTCCGCACAAAGAGACATAGTCTGGCTTGCATCAAAACGGATATGTTCATGATGGGGCTAAGTCAGGGATGGAACCCTCCCCATATTTGACTTCTCACCCATATTTGGAAAGCCAAAGACTTCTCTGCTTTGTTGATTTAGCTGCAATTGGTTTCTAAACCCATCCTACAATATCTCCAATTTATCTTGTATCTATTATTTTTCTGCTGCAAATTATCTTGTATCTATTATTTTTCTGCTACTTCTTTTCAAAGCTTATCAATAACAACTTGTTTTGTTTTGTGTTACTGGTGCAAACAACTTTGAACACTAGGAAAAGTGACACAGGAATACTTTAACAAATATATAACCAAGAAATAGATAAACTGTAATGATTCCTTCTAGGGGAGATGTCACCACTGTGTCTTTGAACTAAAAGCCTTTGGAATATCTGTCTCTCTCTTGACAATAAAGGATTTGGGAATGAAGTTACACCGGAGACCTGAGGGAATTCATTTCAGTTAATTTGAGGTCTAAAATAACGTCACAGAAATCATTTCAGGGATAGGTGAACAGGAACGCTAAATCCTCCAAGGCTGAAGGAAAACAGACATCAGATGCTACATTGTGATTATCTGCACTGAAAAATTGGGAATTCTGTTCACTTGGAGATGTGGAGTCATTTTTCTCCAAAACAGTGACCCTCTCCATGTTTTGACCCACAATGCAGATTATGCAAAGGGATGGCTTTATACAGTGGGACTCTCTCCATGTTTTGACCCACAATGCTCATCACGTCCATCATGCAAGGGATGGCGGGAATTGCAGTTCAAGCCCTCTGGTGGGCCAAAGCTTCCCCACCCCTGATCTGTTCCAAAGGAAGGGCTTGAGAAACTGACACAGTGCGGTCTCTAGACTAACGTTTTAGATGCAGATAATGCAAAGGGATGGCTTTATACAGTGGGACTCATTGGACCGAATCAGTACTCATTTAAATGGAGACAAAAGGGCACTGCTTTCGTTGATTTAAAACCTCAGATTAGACGGAGAGGTACTGACCTAAAGTTTTAATGCTTTTTAGGTCGTGCATTTCAAGTCAGCAATTCCAGAATTGGGAAAAGCTATTTCTGTGGACTACAGTTCCCAGAATCCAGCAGCCAGCACAGACAATGCTAGCTGGGGGATTCTGGGAATTATTTTGTTTTGTTTTATGTCTATGTTGCCTTTCTCCTGGTGAAGGGACTTGGGGCAGAAGGTGGATCACAAACTATTAAAACAATCTGGATTTTTAAAAATTACAAAATTAAAGTTAAAAAAATTACTTTTACTTTTCCAATGCTAATGATTTTTTAAAGAAATATCAGTTGATCTGTTTGCCACCAATAATTTGGTTTAGTCTTTCTTTTTTCCACTCCTTTTCCCAAAGCAGCTGAAGGCTGATGGATACCATCAAATCCCGTAGTGGAGACTCTCTTGCCTCTGGTCTTATATTTCTTCTGTCTTTCCTTGTGCTACTGTAACATGCTGAGGTACGGCAACTTCCAGTATAATGAGAGGAGCAAGGTAAAGAATCAGAAAATCTCATGCAATGCAAACCTAACCCTATCTACTTAGAAATCAAGATGACTAGATACAAGTGGGACTTACTTCCAGGTACATGTATATAGCAAAGCTGGGGAATATGTGGTTCTCTCCACAGAGGCTGGAAAAATTACTGTTTTCAACTACAATTCCCAGTAGGGACCATGCTAGCTAAGGAGGCCTGGGAGTTACAGTCCAAAAAAAGTAAATTCTCCAACCTCTGATAAATGCTGCTGACTTTGACAATCTTTGGATGGCCATATTATTTTGGTTTTATTATGTGCCCTCTGAGCTTCTTCTTTATGCTTTGTATTTTATATTTCTAACATTTTGGAGTTTCCTAGAGGATGACCTGTTATTGAACACTTCAAAAAATAAGGTACGCAAACCCACCAGTAAATAAAAGCACTCATTCTGAACTGGGGAAATGGTGGGGAAAACGGCCTCTTACAAAATTTGGTTTCAGGGTTCAAAGTTGTTGTCAGGTGTTTCCCTCTGTGGGTCTGTCAGATCTCTCTTTAAATAAAACTAAGCCAGGGGCTTTTGCTGTGGAGAATTCCATAAAATATGTATTGTAAGGAGAAAGGCTTTCTTTTGTCTGCCCTAAGCTCACTGCCAGTCAATTGCCTCGGCTAAACAAAGCCAGATCCCAGACAAGCAGTTTATGGGGATATATTTATTTGTTGTGTTCTTGCGCAACCCCCACCAAAAGGTTGATGCGCCAAGCAAGAGTTCTGACAACCTCACTGCTTTTATTTGCACGGCAATATGATACAGGAGGCAGACAGGAGCAACGTGACACTCTTGGTTCTCCTCCAGCAGGGCTGCGGAAAAACTATGGCTCTTCCTATTTTGTAAGACTTTCCTTTTCAAGCAATAAGTAGGGGTCCAGGGAACACTCCATTTATGAAATTCAGACATTTTTAATTTTTTAAAAAATGTTTCAAAACTCTTTTAAATCTTGCTTAAGGTTTATTTCCTTTTTAAAAATATATATCAGGCAAAACCCAAAGAAACAAAACTGTTAATTTTTTAAAAAATGTTTCAAAACTGTTTTAAATCTTGCTTAAGGTTCATTTACTTTTTAAAAATATGTATCAGGCAAAACCCAAAGAAACAAAATAAAACAAAACAAAACAAAAAGACAAAATAAGTGGCTCCTTAAAGATTAACTCACAGAATCACCAAATCATGAAGTTGGAAGGGGCCTATAAGGCCATCGAGTCCAGCCCTTTGCTCAGTGCAGGACCTATTAGTATATTTTAATGTGAACTTTCGTGGACAAGTCCACTTTTCAGACAGATGGAATAAAAATTAAATACTGTACTAGATGAAATACCAATTGCACAAAGTAAAGCATTCTAAATATTCATTGGCTCTTTTTTGTGAATTGGGTATTCGGCTACATCTCACATGCAGAGATTTATGGCCTGTGTTCTTCCATATGTCTGACGAAGTGGACTTGTCCATGAAAGTTCACACTAAAATATAACAGTTAATTTTTAAGGCGCCACACATTTTTGTCTTTTTTTCTTCTTTGGGTTTTGCCTCATATGTTTGTACAGACTAACACGGCTACGTATTTTAATATATAGTTTTGCATAGCATTTTCTTATTATTGGATGGATGTTACTTAATAGAATAGAATAGTGCAACTCCCATTGGCCCAAGCCAGCAGAGCGAATGGAGGGGGATGCTGGGAGTTGTAGTTCAGCTATACAGTGGTGCCTCACTTTACGATTGCCCCGCATTGCGACGAATCTGCTTAACGACAATCTTTATGTGATTGCAATTGCAATTGCAAAATAATGGTCTAAATGGGGGAATTTCACTTTGCGATGATCGGTTCCCTGCTTTGGGAACCGATTCTTCGCAAAACAACGTTTTTCTAACAGCTGATTGGCGGTTTCAAAATGGCCGCCGGGTAATTAAAATGGCTCCCCCCTGTGTTTAGGGATGGATTCCTCGCTAAACAGGCAACAAAAATGGAGGATCTTTGCTGGACGGTGAGTTTTTACCCCATTGGAATGCATTGAACGGGTTTCAATGCGTTTCAATTGGGTTTTTTTATTTTGCTTTACGATGTTTTCGCTTAACGGCAATTTTCCTGGAATGGATTATCGTTGTTAAGTGAGGCACCACTGTACCTGGAGGGCCACCCTTTGCTTGTCTCTGCCCTGTACCTTTTGGGTGGCTACTGATAGCACCCACTATAGTAGCCTCTCAACAATCACGTAGATTGGGAATTATGGGCATGGTGATACACAGATTGCATGCCTATTTTAAGTAGCCAATACCGGGGATGATTTTACAGGAAAACTAATGGGGCAAGGACACATGATACTTGTGTTCAATTGTCTCACTGGGTTCTATCTTATTCCTCAAGTTATTTAAATTCTCTACAAGGTGGGGGAACCTGTTGCCTTCCAAACAATGAGGAATGACTGCTCACATAATCCCTCTACACTAGCCAATATGACTGGAGATCATGCGAACTGGAGTCCCACAGCCGTATCTGAAGAGGCACTGGTTCTCCACATTGAGGTGAAGCTGTTGGAGAAGGCCCCACGAGGGAATCCAGGGTTCCACATCTGTGATATGCACATGATACTTGACTTTATTCGTTATACAGTCTTTGGAGTTCCATATGTTTTAGACCTCAGCTTCCAGAAGCTGCTGGTCGGCATGGCCAGCGGTCGATATTCTGGGAGCTGGCCGTCCAGTGAGATCTGGAGAACCGCTGAAGAGACCATTGTAATAATAAATTTTACACAGACATGTAACGGAATATAATTTTGATTAATTTACTAGCATTATTTTACGTATTCCAGAATTCAGCACTTATACTAATAACTGTTTTGGGGACTCAGCCGTGGCTCAGATTAAGCCTTGAATTTCAGACACTTTTAAACCAGAGATGGGGAACTTTGAGGAGTCTAGAGGTATTGTGGTAACCGCCAGCAGCAAAAGCAGCTTTTTTTGGGGGGGGGGGGGGAAAGGAAAATATAAACCATGAGCTGCATTTAGCTCACCTCTGCTTTAAAGGGACATTGACAATGAAAGGTTGAATATTCCCCAGCATTCTAATGAGACAGAAGGATGACTCTGAGCGAACTACGCATTTAGCCAATGAAATAGTGCCACTTAGTGGTTTCGGAGAGCTTAACATTTCCTCTCTGCCTTCTTCGGAGCTAAAGGATAAACCTGGAGAAAACACCCAACAGAACTTCAAAATTCATGTTTGTCTCTTAATGTGAACTGCATTTTCATAACTGAAGGACAGAAGGTTTGCACAAGGAGTATTTTTTAAGAGACTGGAGTGTGGCATACATACACAAACATTCTGCTTCAAAAATGGACATATACCTAGTTTAGCTATAAGTTAAAAGTATTATTACTGTTTCAAAACTGCTGGATAGCTCAGTGGTTTAAGTGTATGACTGTCGGGCCAGAGGTTCCGAGTTCAATTCCTCCACTCAGCCTCCTTGTCAGGGGCTGGACTAAGTGATCCATAGGGGCCCTTCCAGCTCTTCAGTTCTAAGATTAACCAGTAATTAGGTCATTTTACTGTGCTGTAACTTTTGGCCTCCTTGTCAGGAGCTGGACTCAGTGATCTATAGAAGCCCTTCCAGTTCTGCCGTTCTAAGATTAACCAGCAATTAGGTCATTTTACTGTGCTGTAACTTTAACAGGATGTTATTAGTACAAAGAGTTTATTTCTGTATTTGTAACCTAAAGATAATGAATAATTGCATACTGACAAGTCAATTCTGACTTATAGCAACCTTTTTCCAGAGTTTTCTAGGTAGATGAATACTCAGAAGTGATTTAATTTTTCCTTCTTCAAGGATCATCCTGGGTCTGTGTAGGCTGCCATGCGTACACAAGCTGTGTTTTCCTCTAGGAGGTAAACTGCCAACCTCTGACTCCACACCTGGGTACCTAAACCACAGAACTATCCAGCCAGCTCATGTCATTTTTAAAAAAAAAAACTTCATTGTATGCCACTTGGGTCTGGAGGGAAAGCAGCATATAAGTAAATAAATTACAAATAAGTAAATAAATATGCAACCTAAAAAGAAAAACCAAACTCAAAATGATTGAAAGGCAGCCTTGGGCTGCATACCTGCATTTTCCTCTTGACTGTTTCAAAAGGGAAGGAAAGTGTCTGTGCAACACCAGCTGCCAGGCAGCCATTGATGAAGTTCTGGACTGGAGTGAATCGGAGGCTGGGGTCCCCCCAGATTTTATCCAGGTGGGTGTAAACGAGAAAAGAGCCAGTGGAAAATGGGATGGCACCTGTAGTGAAAAGCAGACAGAAGAGATTTCCAGGTGAAAATTGTTAGGAAATCTACCTCTAAATACAAACTGCTACACTCACCTATCTAGCTCAGCATCCTGTCTGCTTATGATGACCAAACAGATGCTCTAGTGCAGGGGTCCCCAACCCCCGGTCCGTGGCCTGGTAATGGGCTGTGGCCTTGGCAGGACCAGGCTGCAAAAACAGATCTCCTGCCTCCCCCATGCATGCCCCCCCATGCATGCATGGATGCATGCACCCCCCCATGCATGCATGGATGCATGCATGGCCCCTCACATGCATGCACAGACACACGCATGGCCTTCCCCACATGCATGCAATGATGCATGCACACCCTGCCCATGCACGGACACACACCCCACCCATGCACGGATGCCCCCATATGCACACTAAATCGGTCTGCAGTGTGAAAAAGGTTGGGGACCACTGCTTAGTGGAGTCTGTAAAGCAGAGCATGATGGGAGTATCTCTATCCTCTGGAGGCTGTCTCTAGAATAGACACAAAAATGGTAGTATGCACAGACAGACCTGTCCTTTGTGTGTTCAGCAAAATCTTGAGGTTAAGACCTTCCTTTTTTGGATTACAACTCTCAGAAACCCCAGCTAGCACAGCTTATGGCAAGAGAAGGTTAACTTCCCTTTCAAAAGCCCTGATCTGAGCCTCTGTAGCAGCTGCGGTTCACAGTCATGAGAAAATTTACAAAAGCTCAAATGATGCATCTAGTTGGATCCTTGTACGCATAGTGCATTCCACATGGCATTTTTTAAAATATCACATTAAACAGAACCTATGATAGCCATATGGAATCTGAGAACAGGATCAATGCTATCAGAAAAGCAGAACCCTGAGAACCCAGCCCGCAATTTTTATTCAGTCATGAGGAGCTCTCTCCCATAGTTCCTCATCTTTAAAATACGAATTCTCGTCTGCTCAAATATATTTTGGGAGGAGACATTTCGGCAGAACCAATTAGGAATATATTGCTGGTATGTCCACTTTAAAGATAACAGAGTTTAAGATCTGAAACTGTTTATGACATTATTTTATAGCAGAGCCTTGCTTGTTTTCTACTAAGGATTATCTTCTCTTCTCTGAAGGATCACAGGACTATAATTTAAAAATGTCACTTTCCCAAAGTCTGTACTATGTTATTTCTTATACTGTATCTTTGACCCTACGAGATGTTTAGGCTAGAACTGCCACGACCTCCTACTGTTGGGCCTACTGGCCAAAGGGCCGACGGGCGTTGTACGTTAAAGACACCTAAAGTCTCAAAGGTTCACCATGCTTATCCTATGTTGCAGAAAAAAGACAGCTACCTAATACTGACAGTGAAACGCCGCGGTAAAGCGCAGCCACTCCTTCCTGGTGGTAAATCATGTACAAGGCATGAAGAATTCCTTTGTAGGAAGGCTCCAGATGGTTCTGCACGATGAGCCGCGTCTTGATGACCTCCGTGGGGTAAGTTGCGACGGCAGCCGCCATGCCCGCCAAACTTCCAGCCACGATGGAACTCCACTGGGAGATGTGGCCCTGGTCATCCACAAAGAGCATGACGAATCTAGTGCAAGACACGGGGACGGAAAGAGAAATGTTGCCAGTGAGGAAAGGGTGAGGGATGAAATCAGAGAAGAACCATTCTGAGCTTGCTGTTTTTGGCCCATCATTTATTTTCAGAGTCATGCTTCGATGAGAGATGAACCCTGTTGTGTGTACTGTTTGAGTAATGAAATGAAAGCCGGTTAACCTTTTTCAAATCATGAGGTATTGCGAAATATGTGTGTCACAATCAGCTGGGGTGGCCCAAATCTGGCCTGGTGGGATTCCCCAGATGGCCACACTGTCTTCCCTTGGTATGTTCACACTAAAAGGTTTAAATGTCTCTCCTAAGAACAGGTTACTGTCAATTAAAAGCTTAGCTTGCACTAAACATCTTTTTGTTGTTGCTTACCTAGAAATTGCTCAACAGACAAACAACTATGGTTTATCTCTCCCCCCCCCCTTTTGGTTTCTCACAGCAGTTTGGTCAGCTCCTATTTCAGGGCGGGCAACTGAGGAACCACAAAAGGGACAAGTCAGAACTGCAATTCTGGATATCACAACAAGCCATGGTTTAAACAAGCCAGAGTTTGTGAGCCAAACACCAAACCATGTATTCAGATTGTGGTTTCTGGCAGGTGAACAAGTGGTGGCATCTGAGAGGTAGGTTTGTACATCACAAGAAGCCACATTTCAACAAACCACCAAATGGCTGGCTGGAACACCCCAACATTAATTGCCCTGCCCGATGTGTTACGGACACATCAGCCTCTACTCCCTAAGAATGTTTTGCATAAAATAAATCAGAGATCTGCTAAAGCAGCATCCTTGGATAAAGTCTGTCAATTTCCTTTCTTTTCTCCTTCTCCAAACAATCTCACTTCACCATCTTCAGACTGCTCTAATTGTTCTGGTACAAAGGTTTTTAGTCCTGCTGTAGTTCTTTTACACTCTTGGTTCCTTATATGTTATTGTGAATTTTTTTACTGTGTTCTTATAATATATAATATTAACATTATAAGCCACCATGTGCTGTGATGGTTGAAAGGCAGGTTATAAGTCACCTAAATAAATAAGGTGGCAACCTCATAGATTCCTTTAACTCAGTAGCCCTATAAATAGGGAGAGGGGTGCCATACTAAACATACCCACTTAAGAAGCCTAGTCCCATTGTTTTCAATGCCCCTTACTCTTTGGCAAGGCTGTATTTTGGAACTGCAGCCACAGTTCCACTGAAAACTTCTAAGTTTATGTAGGATGTATTGACTTCTAAATAGACGTAGGAGGATTGCACTGTAAGCCTGAAATCTTATGCACATACTTGGCATTGGATTCCTTAGTTTACACTAAACTGGAGGTATTTCTGAAAAGCCATATAAAGGCTTCTGCTATAATAACCAGCAAGAAATATACATGCTGAGATAAAAATAGAAATGTTAAGTTTTATGGTATGCATATTTCCTCAGAATGACATCACAGTGTGTAAAATGAAATGTATCCATAAATGTCCAAGCAATCTCAGTACAAAAATACATCACTAAAAGAGAGACAAACTGAAGTAATTTCATTTTTAATTTTTACTGTGTCTTTCTTGAAGTCTGAAGACATTTCAGGTTTCCTTACTAAATAAGTATCTTTTTCTTCTTCTTCCTTGAACACTGGCAGATCTGTACATATGCAAAAGTTCAGCTGATTTAGAAAACTCTGAATCCCAACCCCAACCAAACAAGGGGAATACTTTTTAAAAAGAAACTAGATTGGGCTTTGCACCTCAAACAGACACACCGAAAGTTTGGAAGTAACCACATAAATGGAACTGTTGAGAAAGTGGGCCGCAAGGGGATGCAACCGTTGCTAGTTTCATTTATCAGCATTTTAAAGAGATCTTGAGTGGAATTTTTAAAGCCCCATGCCATTCTCTATCAATCCTAACCACCCAGCTACTGAAAACTGAAAAGTATTTTTATAATTTCAATGGCTTTCCAAAATTACGTCCAGCTTCCACCACTATGGTCAACACCAAACTTTTCAAACATTTCACTGATTCAGAATCAGGGGGGAAACAACTTCCTTTTATCTCCGCATCCTGGCACTGAATACACCCATTTTTAAAGAAGGAAGTTGTGTCACAAAGGCTTGAGTGTAGAGAAGGAAAACACGGTCTATTCACCGACCTCATACTAGTTTTTAGAGGGTTTTCTTTAAATCCCCCCTACAAACTACCATGTTTTTCTGTACCTCGACAGTTAACTTTTAACTTAACTTTTAAGTTTTCCACTTTTCCTCGCCCATCCCATACTGATATCTGCACACAATCTGTCGCTGTCTTAAATCTTAAGAAAGGGCCTCCTGGAGAAACAGGATCTGGGAAATCGCGCTTCCCCTCCTTGTTCAGACACGTCCAAACGACTCGTTGGAGTTGTAAGAAACTGGTTACGGCCACCAATTTCACTCCTCAACCCTCGGGGCTCGTTCATCCGGAAGGGAGCTCCATTGTGTCCAAGAGGGCCCGCGTTCAGGGGAAGGAGGACAGTGGGCAGGGCGGTGTAGTGGTCAGAGGGCTGGACTAGAGCGCCCGGGGCTCAAATCCCTCATTGGGCGTGAGGTTCCAAAGGGTGACCTGGGGCCAGGTCCTGAGTCAGCCTGGCCTGCCTCGCGGGGCTGTTGTGAGGACAAAAGGGCGGAGGGGGCTCGCCGGCAGAACACAAACGGCCATGGCGACTTAACCGAGAACATGAATGAACGAGCAGGGTCGCCGCCTTGCAAAAAGGCCAGGCGCGCCACCGGGCGCTGCCCCCCCTTCCTCCTTCCCTCCCTCCCTCCCTCCCCGGCTTACCTGCGGTAAGAGGCGAGCTGGAGCAGGCTGTAGGGGCAGAGGCGGGCGCAGGCGGTGAGGTTGCCCTTCCAGAGGGCGCCCAGGCCCTCGGCCCGGCCC